AGTTGATTTCCATATTTACTTGTAGCATTTTAACTAACTTACTAATAGTCAAAAATAAAACCTTTGAAAACGTTTTTGTTTGATATATTATAAACCTTTTCCACACTAGATTTTTATAACTTTACTCTACTACTCGTCAAATAGAGTATTTATGCATTCAAAATGAGCACCTAATATACTAGTAATGATCATTCACCTAAACGTAACGACATGTCCAGGATATTCACCATAATGTCATTAACAGAAACAAAACATGTTTGATCTCAAATGAAACCATAACAGCATACATAACAACATGTTTGAGAGATTCACAAAAGAAACCATGGAAGCATTTATACTTGAGATTAAACTAAGTGTTTCTTCATCATAGAAGCACTACAGTTCCTTCACTTTTGACATTACATCTCCCCTGACTTCATTCATTTGAAATGTCAACATCTTATGCAAGTACTTAAACCTCAAGATCTGAATAGGCTTTTCCTGCATGATTATATATGTTAGTATTAACATTCCATACCTTTCACATATTAGTAAAATAACAATAAATCTTTTATAAAAAAACTGGATTTTTACATTTTCTTTTTCTAGGCCACACTCCCACTCAGTTTCTCCATTAAAAGTTTCCATATGTCTCATAAGGTAGACTCCTTCATTGGCTTTGTTTTTTTTTTGTTTCTCCATCCCATTCTTACTATCTCTGACTTCATAGTCTTCACTTTTTCTGCATGTTGATGCTTATCTTCTTTCAGCCATTTCAAAACAGCACTTTTCTGTAAATTTAAGCAATTAAACAGTTTTTGTATGACGTATTAATAAACACTTTGCACAAAAAATATGTAAAGATACTCATTGTTTTTAGCACTTATACTCATTTTAAAAAACAAATAATACATATTTTTATACTTACCAGTTGGCTTGGTAGTGAAAAGTACTTCATTTGTATTGATACTTCTACGTCACAGCTATCAACTATTAAGAACTTCATGTACTTCAAATCAAAGCACATAAGGTAGTAGCTACCATTCTGTTCAGTTGGGAAGATAAACAAGTCCATGTTCTTCACTTTGGGCAATGTCCTCTTGAATTGTTTCCGTGTAGTTGCAATAAACCTGCTATTTCGAGTTGCTGGAGCACTAAGCTGATTTTCCTCCAATACTCTCTGTAAATATATATTTAGGATATTTGTTACAAATATATGAATAAAAATACTTAAAGCCATAATTCTTACACATGGCAAAGACAAATTGAGCTAGTTTGACTTCTTCAGTAGTTATTCCGCACTTTATTTCTGTAACCCTTATCACAAACGGTGACTTGAGAGTAGGGGTTCGCTGTTGTATTCTTTTTTCTTTCACTACATTTTCGTGACAATTACCTTCTTCTTCAATACAAACTTGCTTTCCCTTTTCAGTCACACGACTAGCTTCTAAACCCACATTCACTTCTTCAGCTTCATGCTCATGCTCATCAACCCCATGCACATACTCATTCCGATGTTCTTCATGCTCAGAAAGATCAATATGCTCATTTGATTCTTGTGAAAGCAGTGTGAAGCTGGACTTTTCATATTGTGTCAATGTAGGCCTGTCATTTCTTTTTTTCTGAGCCTTTTCAATAGCTTCAACTGCCCTTAAAACCTCCTCAGTCCAGAAGTCATCATCAGGCGTCAATGATATTTCTTTTTCAGATGTTTGTGCTTCTGTTGAGTATGTGTTGAAGAGTCCATGGACTTTTCCAAGCAGAACCTTCATTTTATCATCATCAGGCAACACCTTTGCAACTTCTTGAAACTTTTCATCAAAGTTTGCTATGCTATCAACCAAGTGCTTTGCTGCTGAAGCAAATTCTTTCATGATATCCTATTTGAAACATATGAGTATCACTAACTCTTGAATTGAGTATTTGTTATTTTATTTTGAATTTTAAACTGTAAACAATGTCATGTCAAATATTTATTATTTTATTTCATATCAACTAACTATTTTTTATAAAATATACTTATTTAATTATTAAAAATGTTACCAGTTTCATTGTTGAACAAATTTTAAAATAAGACATTATTTTCCTTACCTTATTTGGCTGCTCATTGCTTTCTCCCACATTTGCCTTTTCAATTTCCCCTTCATTTTGAATCAAATGTGGGTTTGCAAGTGTTCCTTGATTTGGTTCATCTATGTATCCAAATCCGAACCCTCCACTTTGTATCTCTTCCTTTTCTCTTTTGTTCAGAATCTAAGTTGTCCATCCAAGTATAGATGGCAATCATCTTTCTATTTTTCTTCCTTTGAATACCACATTGTCAACATAGAACACCTGTATATTGTAAGTTTTAAATATTGTGCATTACATTATACATATTTGATTAGTAACACAACTAATTTGAGCATTGACATTATAAAATTTTTAACTTACAATAAAAAAGACAAGAGGCCCTGGGAACTGTCGTTCTCTACTTTCATTCCAGTAGTCCTTTGCTTCAATCAATTTCTGCAATGCATAGCCGCACCAATTGAGATTCTTTATTTGTGATTCATCATCTAAGGCTTTGAGTATGCTTTGATTTACAAAGCAGTTCTGTTTCCCTTCAATTAAACAAGTGACAAGCAGAACCAAGATTTTTTTTAAACCAGCCTCTAGCTTGTTTGTTTTCTTCCAAAACCCTTTTCAATTCACCAGTCTTCACAAGCCCTTTATCATTTGGGAATTGTGATCTCCAATCAGCAACCATCTCTGCTGTTTTTTCACCTTGATTATCTATCATGTTTTTCACATTCAATTTTCCCTTCGGAAACCCCATTGTGTAGTGCACTGTATCTTCATTGATACACAATTTCTCATTCCTCGGCAACTTCAGTGACACGCTTCTACTGTCAAACTTATCCACAACCCAATATGCCAACTTCATTGGCAATTGTTTGATTTGTAAGTATCGTATTGGGCCAAATCCCATCTCCACCACTTCTGCTTTTTGTTCTTCACTCAGTGTTGTGATTACTTCAGTCAGACTTCTTGGAGACATTCTACTCCATAGCTTTGGGAGTTTATCATTACTCTCATCCTCTATTTCCTCATCTTCTTCCTCTTCTTGTTCATATTCTTTTTTTTCTTCAGCTTCTCTTTTTCTGCTTTTGTTCTTTGTCTTTTTCTTGCAGCATCTTCTTGCTTATCTCTCCTTGCTATCACTTTCCTTTTATAGCCAGTTTTCTCAAATTCATTTCCCTTTTTCTTTTCACATTCTTCTGATGTGCTTGACCTTGTCATTCTTTTATATTGTCTAATATCCTCAGACTCTGTTTGCCTTGATATTGTTTTCTTACTCTTCTTTTCAGTATTCTTCTTTTGAACCCCTTCTTGTTCTGCTTCAATCAAATCTTGTTGCTCATCTGGAACAGTCTGTTGCTCAGCTTCTTTTAAAACATAATCATCTTCATGATTATCATCATCATTTTCTTCAAAGGATTGAGTCTCTTGCTCATCATCTCCATGTAGGTGCTCATGTTGTTCAATATATTGCTCAGCATCCTCAACTGTATGTTGATGAAACTGTTCATCTTCTTTCTCTTGAATTGAATGATGAACTTCATCTTCCTTCTGCTTGGAGCATTCTATATCTTTCGCACCTACATTCAGACTGATCATCTCCTTTGCACCTTTTACACTTTCTTTAGTTGTCTTTCTTTTCTTCTGAATAATGCCTTTCTTTTTGCTCAACCAATGGTTTTTTACTATTTGGATTCCTTTTTGGTTTTCTCCATAAGATTGGAATCTCTGTTACAGCCTTTGTTGTTGGACTGCTGCATTATTCGTTTAAACGAGTAAACACCATATCATGATGAGTATGTTAATAGTCTTTATGGAACAATATTTAAGGATACAAGATTTCATATATTATTTTTAAAATGATATATAGCACTCTATATGTAAATCATTTGACTTTTAATAATAACACAATGATAAATCATATACTACTTTTTCAATGAGCATATTAAGTGTTCATTTGAATACTTTAATAATTATATAGGAAATTATGTGCAAATATTATGACTTCTATTAAGAAATTTCATTACTGTTTCAGCACTATCCACAACATTATGAGTACTATATTATTTTTCAAGCAACACCATCCACAACATGATGAGTACTATATTATTTTTCAAGCAACACTATTATAGAATACAAATATTTTATAAGCATTTTACTATTTAATAAACACATAACTTTATTTGCAATAAACATGAGTAGTACACAATGAGTATACTCCCAGTTTTCATGTAACATTTAATAGAATAAGAAATATCTAAGAAGCAAAACAAATATTTTAAGCTAATAACGTAATGCTTTGCTTAATAAACAAATTTTAAGCTATATACGCAGAATATGAGTACCACACAGCAAATAATGAGCAATATAAATGCTCTATTCTCGATTCATACATTTAACATGAAATTCCTTATCAGATAAACATTTCTCCCGATTGAGGCTACTGTTTTCCAGAATTTAACGCACATGCAAGTACTTTAACATTTTATTTTAAGAACTACAAAATAAAATCCAAATGTATAGTACGAAATGTTACATACTCTTTGGATGCTTCACTTTCGTTATCTTCATCTGCATTTGAAATCATATTATACTCTGATACGATGTCCATAACTGCCTTCGTTCGTACTACTCAAAACCTAACACTTCAGATCTCAGACTTGTTTCTCTGTTTTTGAACTTGTTGTTGTTTCTCTTACAGCGCTAATGGCGATATACAGTTCACCATTAATGTCGCTGCAACTGTTCTCGACTGTCGTGCTCAAATGCGGCTACGTAGCTTCGCAACATTGATGTCTCTTGCGAACAGATTCCAATGTTTGAGAATGGTTTGAAATTACTAGTTGTAAATAATTTGGTTTTACCTGGTAATTCAAAAGTTTGAGTCTTTGAGTTATGGGTCTCCCCTAAAATCTATTTTATTCAAAATTTTATAAGTCTTTTTCCTCTTCTATCTTCAGTCGTCACGGGGTGTAGAAGGGACAGGAAACAATAGGAGAGTACGAAAGATGAGGAAAAGGACGATTGCGGTACTGGGGGTCGCAATTTTGTGCTTCGTAATTCTTATGATTGCCACTCCGGCCATCTCTCAGTCTCAAGAGTACCACGACTTTGCTGATCAACGCAATTTCTTTGGTAAATTGAATTTGTTAGCTCTAACTTGCCCTACTCCTACTCTATATGTGATTATGTGTTTTCTGTATGTATGTACGTCTGTGTCTATATCTCTCTGCTTCCTTTTTCATGTGTATAATGCTCAACAGCTCAAGTGTGACGGAGGTAATAGGTTTTTATGGGTCTTCTGTTGCTTCGCCGTTAAATGATGAATTAAGGCTTTCCAAGATAGAGCTTAGAAGAGAATTTGTTGTTGCTCGGATTTTACTGCTTCCTTAATGTTTCATAATTGTGTATTTCTGTACTGTTCTTATTTTGTTTTTTTTCTAACTGCAGGGATACGCAATGCACTGAATGTGATTTCAAACTTCCCCTTCTTTGTCATTGGATTAGCAGGGCTAGTACTCTGTCATTATCGGAATTATTTTAAACTGAGGTGAACATTTTAACACAAATTTCGTGTAATGTAAGAGCATGCTATGTTTAAATTCTCTGACTTTTCATTGTATGATACATCGCGATAAAAGCTTACAGGGAGAGTCTTGGGGTTGGTCGTGTTTCTACATAGGTGTTACAGCTGTTGCTTTCGGGTCAGCTTACTACCATCTTGAACCAAATGATTCTCGTCTGGTTTGGGACCGCCTTCCAGTGAGTTGTTTGTTCTTTAAAATGCATTGTGCTTTATAGACTTAGGGCCCCTCTGGTAAGGGTTATTTTGATAAAATGATCGCCATGATTGTTGTTTTTAGTAAGGAACAATAGTTGGTAACATCTGTGCTGGTAACAATAGTAAGAATAATAAGCCATATTAAGACAAGAAACGAACCTAATGCGAATAAATAAAGAAACTATTTGTGATTATTGCTTTATTTGACATTTGATGCATGATATGACAGATGACTGTTGCGTTCACTTCTATCGTTGCTATATTTGTCATCGAGAGAGTGGATGAGAGAAAGGGATCTTTGTCTATTATCCCATTGATTTTGGCTGGAGTGATAAGTATTTTATATTGGAGGTAAGCTTCTATATTTTTGAAGTTACCATGCATAATCTTGCAATGCTTCAAATCGTGAATTTTGTTGGAGTTTAAATTAAACTTTTATTAGGCATTGAACTGACTAAAGCACCGTAGCAATGTACACCCAGGCTCCGAGTTCGATGTTTTTAACTGCTATTTGGAGGCTTTAAGTAGTACTTGCATTTAGTTGCATTGTTGGTAACCTTTTTTGGGTGCTTTTTTATAAAATAATAAACATTATGTATAGTACTATATCACACCATCTATTCAATAGAGTCTGGTTTCAAACATTTTCTTTGTCCCAATTAACAGTGATATTCGGATTTTTTTCGCTCATGCTAGGCTAATTATTCAGATAAGTTCCCAAAATTAACAAAATAGAGTCCTAGACTAGTTGTATATGATAAATCTAGTTAAACCGACTCCACCTTATGAAAATACTCTGTATGTCTTCTCTTCTCTGCTCCAGTGTTGGGATGATCTCTCCTTCAAGAAACGACATGTGCTCCTTCATCTTCTACAAGAACGATACATGTTGCACGCTCTCTTTGCTTCTTTCTAGTACTAGTATATCACTATAGCTGCTGCTATATCTTCTACAAAACTTATTTTCATTCAATGTTTTGACTTAAGTTGTTTTACACATTAATCGCATCATATGTTTTGCTGATGAAACCAAGAGTGTTTCTAGGTATTTATGAATGTTAAGATGCTTGTAACTATCAGTGACATATATCATACTTTTTGACTTTGAAATGTGTGTGTAATGTAATTATATGCTTCCAGTTACATATCTATTACTCCCTCCGTCCCATTTTGGTTGTCCTACTTTCCTTTTTGGGTTGTCCAAAATGAATGTCATGTTTCCTTTTTTGGCAAGACATATGCAGTCTTTATCATTTCAATTTATTTTACTCAAAACTCAACCACATATTTCACTTTTCAACCACTTTATTAATAATCGTGCCAAATTAAAACAGGACAACCAATATGGGGCATTGGGACGGAGGTATTTGCCCCCACTCTTTGCTATCTGGGATTGACAATACTGATATATATAGGGGTTTAGTTGGGGTTGATAGGGGGCAGTTGCCCCCACTCTAGATATGCCCCTGCTTATTCCCATCTAAGCAATTATGTTAAATGGCAGAATGGTGTATAGTCACATACATTTGCCATTTCAACAACATTTCAGTTTGAAGCTGTTGAATGATTGTAATGGTTTCAATTGCAGATATTTTGATGATCTCCGTCCTTATGCAGTTGTTCAGTTTGTTCCGTGCTTAGCCATCCCTCTAATGGCTATACTAATGCCTCCAATGTATACACACTCAGTATATTGGTTATGGGCAGCCGGTGTGTTTTTTTTGCTTGTTGGTTTGAATGATTTAACATGATGCTGCTTTCCTGTTTAATTTTGGTCTACTAATTAAATTAATTTCTTTTCCAATTCAATAATGCAGCATTTTATCTCATAGCTAAAATTGAGGAAGCATTGGATAAACCAATTTATAAGTTGACTCATCATATTGTGAGTGGGCATACACTGAAGCATTTATGTGCTGCAATGGTTCCTCTCTTCTTGACTCTAATGCTTGCAAAGAGGGAGGTAATTCAAACAGAGAGCCAGAGGTATGACTACATTTTCTTCTCTAGGAAATGTATTCTGTAGGGTTACCTGGGCTTGTTCAGTTATGTCGTGTTCTTAAAATAGAGTTAGTACCCTATTTTGTCCATTGACTATACACTCATACTAGGTTTCGTCCCCACCTTTTTTTTCAACCCAATATTCTCCTCGACTATGAAATGTGGATCGTATTTTGTCGTCTGCATATTTGGATCTGAATAAGAAAAATAATTTTGTTGGCTCACTAAAGCTAGACCTAATTTCAGACTCAATTTGGTCATCAATGTACTAAAATGCACTCTTAATTAGATAAGAATACAATTCAGTAAGAAGAGAGTTGAGGATCAAATTGAGTAAGATTGTATAGTCGACAGACTATCATGTATTAACTCTTATATATGCTGTACTTGCGTTCTGAAAAGAAATTCACATTTCTACAGCTCGTCTGGTTTGTTAGAGTTTGATGACTGATTTTGCTGAAATATTGGCTCAAAGTGGGACTGGAACGACATAATGGGGTCTAGCATCTATTAAAAAATACGGAGTTGGTTTTATATTAATTTAATGAATTAGTATGTAGAAGGTGAAGTTAGGAAGGTCATGTATCCTTATTTAAACCTTTTGAGATAGAAAAATGACTTGTACGACACCATTTTTTAGTTGAGGTTATCACATGTTTCATTTAGTGAAGGCAAATAAATACATCATCCGTTTTGATAGAGAATCTTGATACCTAAAAAATGAGCATGACTTGGACAGAGTATGTTTGATTTTTGTTGCATCTGCAGAAGAAGTTTTGTGCAGATATGGAAAATATCACGGGATAAACTCAAGCTGAAAGGGAACGGTACGGAATTAGAGAGTTCCGAATGCAGCTATGCATATATTCCTGTTGAAGACTGAGTGGGGAGCATCCATCTTTCATGGCCAGTGACAGATACTTCTTCCCACCCACAAAAAACAGTCTATATACTTGCTAACACACCTTTTGTGGGCATATTGCGAGGTTTTGTTACAAAACAAGAAAGAAAAAAGAGAAATGGATGATAATTGTAATATGGTTGGTTGAGAAAATGGAGTTCACAATCAGTTCCGTTTTGGTATGGAACCAACCGTTGACAGATGTGAGCACCTAGCATTGTCATCCAGAGTGTATCCGTTTGGCATACTTCCAGTTCCGTCCACTGGTTACTCAATATATAATGCGGAGTGGAATATAAATATATAATCAATCAAAAGACATTAAAGTTAGAAGATGTGTGATGATCATCTGATGAACGTTTATCACATAACACCGTCGTTTATTAAAAAATGAGCCCATCAACCTTTTGAGTTTTTCTGTCATTTCTTTTTGGTCGATGATTAAGGCATTCTACTGTAATCAATATCGCACTCAACAAATACCCAATTGAATTCACAAGTGATAAAAAAAACGCTCAATGAGTCTTTTTAGCAAGTCTCAACTCCCTTTTCTCAATCTTTTTCTTTTCCTCTTTTCACTTTTCTTTATCTTGTGTAGGAATCGAGCTGAGCCTGAACACCCAAAGTTCGAGTTCGGCTTGATAAGGAATTAGTGGTGTTCGGGTTCGAGCTCGAAGCTCGATGAGCTTTACAAATGAGGCTCGTGCTCGGCTCGATAGGTGTTTAGGGAAATGAGAACTTTCCATTTAGGGAAATGAGAACTTTCCAATGGGACATCCAAAAAAGGAAAGAGGGAACATTCCAACGGGACGAAGGGAGTATATATTTCAGGTGTTCGAGAGTGGATTCAAGTGTTAAGTGTTGTTTGGGTTGCATGGTCTGATAGGATTCATACTTATCTCTCCAACTTCCAAAGATTTAATTTAGATCATTGACCATCATATCCATCTTGCATTATTGTTTCTACTTTGGATTTGTAAATTACAATATAATTCTTATAATAAATAAAACTGATAGGATATTGAGGTTCGGTCCAATATGGCGACCCAAAATATCCCTAGAAGTCCAGGAACCAAGGAAAGCCCAAAGGTCATAGATTCCGAACGGGAGTTTGGCACATTCTTTAAGGTCCAAAATACAAAGGATAGTCAGGAAGAGATCGTTGGGCCCAAATGGTTTGCTTAAAGGCAAGACCCTTTCGGCACCACCCGAACGGGATGTAACCGACTGCAGTTAATACTGGATCATGGGGGTCTCAAGTGGCATGGAAAGCAACCAATCATATAAGGGCGCTCCATGTCTCCATTTAGTATAAATAGCAGTTGTTAAATCATTGTAAAGGGTTGGATTTCATGAACTCACAAACTTATATTGTATCACAACTCTTGTATTAGCCTTTGAATCATAATTACCGCTCGTTCATTCCTGTGTAATTGTTATTACTGTATTAATACAAGCTGAGTTATTTAGATAGTTAAATCAGATTTTATATTTCCTTTTATACACATTACTATAACAATTTAACCCAAGATCCAAGGGTAGTGTTGGGCCTTCGGGTCATTCGGGACTAAACCACAACATTGGCGCCGTCTGTGGGAAACTTCTGAACAAAAAGTTGCAAACAAGACCGCTTAACTAAACATCAATCTACCCTTCGGTATGGTCAAACTCACTTCTCATCACACCGAGGGAATCTCGGGGATACGCGGGGACAGCAAAACGCCGGAAGGCCGGACTCCCCAAGGGCAATCCAACCGGGGTTCATACCAGCAGTTCGAGGGGGACTTCTTCATCCGCGAAGCACTACAGACAGATTCTCGTGCCATGCGAAATCTGGCCCAGGTAATGCAGACATTAGCGGATGAGCAGGATGAGGGGCAATCCAGCTACACGGAGACTGAATGTGCAACCCCCTCGCCAACCCATCGGGGGCAATCCTTTGACGAAGACACTGATGAAACGGAGACAACCAGGGCTTCAGTCTACACACGATTGGGGCAAAGAGGGCATCGAAGGGCCCATACTTCCGGGCACCAACAACGCTCGTCCTCCGACCATACCCCGTACGTGACTAGATAGGGGCGTCAGTTTAGGGAACAAACCCCGGTGGGAATGACAGAGCATCAGTACCGGTACATCGAAAGAATTGGGGAACGACATACAAGAGGACGCCAGGAGGCGGATGCACACCGAACGGAGAGAACCCCCGAAAGGATCAACTCGAGGACACCTCCCTAAACGGCTCAGGAAGTAGCATCGGCCGCCTTGCAAAGGCAAATTGACGGGCTCACTCTTCAACAGAATCAGACGCCCCTGCCACCCCGTGCGGGGATCACATCTCCCTTTACAAGGGAAATAATGGAAGTGTAAATCCAGAGGGATTGCAGACCCTCGGTCGGATGTGTTTACAATGGGGTAGGAGACCCCAATACCCATCTCATCAGCTACCAGGGAGGGCTCATGCTCTTAGGAGCCTCAGAGGAGGCTATCTGCAGGCTATATTTTAGCACTCTCCGAGGACCTGCCCAGGAATGGTTCAGCCAATTGCAATCTGGGTCGATCGGAAGTTTTGCCGCCTTATCAACCTTGTTCGTGGCTCATTTCGCCTCGAGTGCTACCCCAAAGCGGCACTTTAGTTATCTCACCAGTGTCCGCCAGGAGTTGAAGGAGTCCATCACCCAGTTCTTGACCAGATGGAGGGATGAGACGTTAAAGGTAGAAAAACTAACGGATTGCACAGCGATCACACTATTTACCGACGCTTTTCAAACGGGAGAGTTATACCGGGATTTAAAGAAAAACCCGGGGACCAGTTATGCAAAGGTCCTGGAACGGGCACAGAGGCATGCTATCCTGGAAGAAGAAATCATGATCAGAGATGGTAGAGCACCCCAGGCATCTACAAAGTTGGCCGATCGGCTGGGTTCTAGCCCAGTGGCGATGAATGCTCCAAAATAAGCTCGTTTCACACCATTCGTCATGTCCGTTGCTACCATCCTTTAGAATGAAAAAGATGTGATTCTCCCTCCAACGGACACAGAAGCTTTTATGGGACGTGATGACACATATTGTGAATACCACAAGAGGAAGGGGCATTCTACCAGGGTCTGCCAAGCACTCCAGATTGCTATAGAGGAGCTGATCCAGCAAGGTCACCTGGGTAAGTATGTGAAAAAAGACCCGAGTGCGGTAGGCCCCCTCCAGGATAAAAATAAAAGGTCAAATGGTTGGAAGAGGGATGATCAAAGAGATGCCCAGCCACAAAATGACGCATACATACAGCCCAGGGACGAGGCCGAAGGATCAGAAAATCCGCGAAAAAGCCTAGAATGGAGATCAAGGTCATCTTTGGTGGGGGAGAAACAGGCGACACAGATGCCGAACGGAAGAACGTCGACCGAAGCCTACTTTTGGCTTCCATCTCCGACCCACCCCAGAAGAAGGTAAGGACCGAACCAATCATGTTCGGTCCCGCAGATCTGTCAGCATCACGCAGCCCCCACAGGGACGAGTTGGTAGTGAGCATGTGTGTGGATAACACCCTCATCCGCCGAGTACTGGTGGATACGGGTAGCAGTGTAAACGTCCTGTATTTACGAACGTTCAAAAGAATGAAACTGGGAGGGATAGACTGACACCCCTACAAACACCGTTGGCAAGCTTCACAGAAAACTGCATCGACACCGAAGGGACCATCTCCCTTCTGGTAGAAATTGGAGACGAGGCACACCGAGCGGCGGTCCGTATGACGTTTGTAGTAGTGGATATTCAATGCGCCCACAATGCCATATTAGGCCGACCTGGATTGGAAGACTTAGAAGCAATTGCTTTGGTTCGACACTCATGCATAAAGTTCCGTACTGAAACAGGCATGGGAGTAGCCCGAACGAATCCGATCACTGCCCGAACCTGTTATAGGGAGGCCATGAGGAAAATAAACGACCGGAACCTGCGGGTAAATACCATTATCGAAGAAACCAGACAAGCGGAATTTATAGCACGTCCTGAGCCAGCCACCATGCTGGAATACATCGACCTGGATTCACCTCCTGATCGACAGGTCGGGATAGGGGTGGACCTGGAGCCAGAAATTAGGGAAGGAGTGATTGCAATAATCAGAGGATATGTCGGGCATAGATCCGGAAACTATCTGTCATCAGTTAGCCGTTCGGCGAGACGTAAAACCAGTCCAACAGAAGAAACGTTACCAGGCGGCCAAACGGCAAAAATTTACCAAACTAGAAGTAGCTGTATTACTCTAGATCAAGCACATCAGACCGGTAATCCATGTGGAGTGGTTATCAAATGTGGTCCTAGCCCCGAAGAGGCCAACTTGGAGAATGTGCGTTGATTATTCCGATCTGAATAAGGCATGCCCTATGGATCCTTATCCAGTGCCTCAGATCGATCTACTAGTGGATGAAACCACCGGGTGCGAATTGTTAAGTTTTATGGATGCCTTCGAGGATATCATCAGATCTTTATGCACCCGGCTGACGCAGAAAAAATAGCATTTGTCAACTCGGACGGGGTATTTTGCTACATTGTGATGCCATTCGGGTTGAAGAATGTTATGGCCACGTTCCAAAGAATGACCGGAATGTTATTTAAAGAGGTCTTGGGAATCACCATGGAGGTTTATGTGGATGACATCCTGATCAAAAGAAAGAAAGAGGACCATGTTCGAGACATGGAAATAGTCTTCGGGATTATGAAGAAGGTGAACATGAGGATGAATCCCAAGAAGTGTGCCTTTGCAGTCAAAGGGGGCAACTTCTTGGGATACATGATGAGCGAACGGGAAATTGAACCTAATCCTGAAAAAATCAAGGCAATCATGAACCTAATCCAAAGTTAAAGTGTACCGATAAATCGTACAAAATTACGTAGTCACGGATGTGTCCGTGACTACGCCCGTGACTACATGTTTTATATATGCAGCCTCCGCTTCATTCAACAAAACACATGATCTATTCCAGATAGAATTCCAGATAGAATTGAAGGATGTAATCTACCCATCTTATATCATTTTCTTAGTTTATGCAGATAAGGTATGTAATTTGAATTACGTATTTTTTTGTATGAATTAGTTGGTTCATTTTAAGTGTAATAAATCAGAGAGATTATTAATTACTTAACGAATTATATATACGTCAATTTCATTTAACTTAGTGAAAAATTAGTTACTTAAACGTAGGTTTAATCGTAGTGATGCATTAAGTTAAATTAATTAATTAGCTAAATTAGTTAAACTTTTGTTAATATTATTAGTTAAATTTAAATTAAATGCATTTTAAAAAAGGTTGTTAATTAATTAACGAAATAAATTCCTTAAATTTAGTTAAACGTAGGTGTAATTTAAACATAGGGTTAGTTAAGTTGTATTTAATTAAATTTAC